ACCAATACCTTGACACAAAACAGTTACAAACTGTCAGTGTCACCCAGGATAAAGCTCAAAAGTAGTTTTACAAGTACTGTATCTGCATGGATGTTTTTATTTTTTTATTATTGCCCTCAACTTTCGGAGACATGCCCAGCTTAAAAAACACCCATTATGTCACCGAGTTCACAATGGCCTTGTCTGGGCTATTCTGAGCATCTGTTTAAAGGCTGGATATACATAAGAAAATACCCTAGGCTGGAGAGCTTATTGTTTCCACATAGATCTCATACACACAAACACACATACAACGAAGGGAATTCAGACCTTGGTTATGCCAACGTAAATGGAATTGACTTAATTACCTTTTCATGCACTTTTCTCTCTATGGGTATTCTGACCTTGAACTTAAGCATGGGGAAACGCATGTGCCAGCCAGGTATTCATTTGGGGTGGAGCTGACAGAAATGGAGGTGTGGCAGAGGTGTGTCTACAGATATACCATATTCTGACCTTGACTTAATTCCCTTATAATTCCACCACCTTTACGCGTGAAGAAACCATGAATAAAGTAGAGCAACCTGTCAGTTCCAAGTGTCTTCCAGACTTTATTTTTCCCGATAGAAATAACACCGTTCTCCATGCACTGTAATTTATACATTAATAAGAGCTATTGATAAGACTTAGGTAACAGGGTAATCCATTTGTATAAGGGGATTGTAAATATAAATGACAATTGTTTTAGATCTATTTTACCTTATAATGGGAAACCAGTCATATTTTAGCAAACTGAAAAGCATATCAACATGACAGATATTTCGGCCTCTTTTCCACAGTGAAGAATAAATAGCTGTGCCATTATTTTAATTGTAGGCCTATGGCTTCATAATTTGCAGGGGTGATATTTGGAGACCCAAACCGAGGCTGTAGCCTATGGAAACTTGTGCGCACTGACAGTAGCACCGATCCTACTGAGTTGATTTATGCGCTCTAGAATGTTTTACTTACAGTGCATTCTGAAAGCACTCAGACCCCTTGACTTTTTCCACATTTTGTTACATTACAGCCTTATTCTAAAATGGATTAAAAAAAAACATTTTCCTCATCAATCTACACACAATACCCCAGAAGGACAACCATCTCTGCAGCACTCCACCAATCAGGCCTTTATGGTAGAGTGACCAGACGGAAGCCACTCCTCAGTAAAAGGTACATGACAGCCCGCTTGGAGTTTGCCAAAAGGCACCTAAAGGACTCTCAGACCATGAGAAACAAGATTCTCTGGTCTGATGAAACCAAGATTGAACTCTTTGGCCTGATTGCCAAGTGTCACGTCTGGAGGAAACCTGGCACCATCCATACGGTGAAGCATGGTGGGGGCAGCATCATGCTGAGGGGATGTTTTTCAGCGGCAGGGACTGGGAGACTAGTCAGGATAAAGGGAAAGATGAACGGAGCAAAGTACAGAGAGATCCTTGATGAAAACCTGCTCCAGAGCGCTCAGGACCTCAGACTGGGGCGAAGGTTCACCTTCCAACAGGACAACGACCCTAAGCTCACAGCCAAGACAACGCAGGAGTGGCTTCGGGCCTCAAGTCTCTGAATGTCCTTGAGTGGCCCAGCCTGAGCCCGGACTTGAACTCGATCTAACATCTCTGGAGAGACCTGAAAATAGCTGTACAGCGATACTCCCCATCCAACCTGACAGAGCTTGAGAGGATCTGCAGAGAATAATGGGAGAAACTCCCCAAATACAGGTGTGCCAAGCTTGTAGCGTCATACCCAAGAAGACTCAAGGCTGTAATCGCTGCCAAAGGTGTTCAACAAAGTACTGAGTAAAGGGTCTGAATACTTATGTAAATGTGATATTAAAGTATTTTATTTTTAATACATTTGCAAAAATGTCTAAAAACGTGTTTTTGCTTTGTCATTATGGGTTATTGTGTGTAGATTGATGAGGGGAAAAAACTATTTAATCCGTTTTAGAATAAGGTTGTAACGTAACAAAATGCCCAGACTTTTCAGTAAAAAAATAAAAACGATTTCACTGTCAGTAATACCCTCATACATAATAACTGTCCCTTTAGTGCAGTGACTGTTAGTTTCCTTCGATTTGTAGCCTTCATTTTGCATCATTCCATTCCATTGTTAGTTTACTTTTTTAATGTATTCTTTCCTCTGTCATGTCCGTGTGGTTGCTTTTGAGGGTCGGTAGCAATAGCGGATCATAATAGGCTAATGTATTACAAGTTTGGGACATGTAGCCTATTTGAATCATTATGGAACGCAGAACATACACAGCAGTTTAAACCTGAAGACTGGCCCACGGGTCATTGTCATCACAGTTCTGTGATTAGTGAAGATTAGGATAGATTTATAGGACTATTGTTCAACCACTCTTTCTCACCTTCCAGTATTTCATGGATTGGACAATTGAATATGGCAACTTTCAGGATGAATCAAACCACTGTATTATTTATTCATCCAATATATGTTTTGCTTGAAGGATCTCCAACCCTGTTTATGTATGATTCATAAATACTTTCCTAACCCTAAATAATCTACAATATCAGAGTATTTTTACATCTACCAATTGGTGCAACAACAAAAAAAGGATACGAATATGTGTGTATAAAGATGGCTTGCTTTCATTGATTCCTATTCTGAACCCATTCTCTTGATATACAGTATATTCTAGTGAGCCTGTTGAGAAAATTCTAATTAAAGGTAAATAATATGTAAAGGGATGGCTTTAGATAAATGTACTGAAAACCCTATTGAATGAAAAATATGTTGGCCAGAAAGTGGGAGGGTTTTCAGCGGTTGAATTAAATGTATTCAGTGCACATCAGGGAGCCACGCCTGCAAAGCCTGTTACGCACATGCATAAGGTAAGTGTAAATACCAACTACTGAGAAGTGCTTAAATCAAAACGCGGACTATGGGTGGGAAAGTATTGTCTCCTCAAGGTCAATTTGACAGAGACAGGAAAAGACACACACACACACACACACACACACACACACACACACACACAGGTCTACAAGTATATATCTATTTTATAAAACTAGTTACATTTATTACAAGTTTAGTACAGTAGAAATCAGTTTCAATCAAATAAGGTAAGTTATTATAACAAAGACAAAATTCATTGTAATAAACTGTACAATTGAGAGGCAAGAACAATCTAGAAAAAGCTAAACATCTGATAGAAACTTTTCCGAACAAAACATTTGAAAATGTTGCATTTGATAAAACCACTTGTGTGAGATGTAGACTGGCTTCTCCAATAAAACACAATTGACAGAAAAAGAAAGAAAAAAGAATGAAAACATTTGCTAATTCAATTGTCTCAAATTCCAGTTGCCATTTCCTGCAATTGAGGAAGTTGGCGGATTGCTTCTCAGGAAGTGGGTGTGTCCCTGTGGCTCCCCTGACCTTCCATCTACTGTGTAAACATGATAGCATTCCAAGGGTTTGCTAAAAACAGTGGTCTTTACAATGATGAATTATCGCATACAACCTTCATCAATCCCATTGAATATATTACATTTATCTCATAAGAAAATACTTTGACTGAATAAACAATGAAATGGATAAGGCACTACTACATGTGATGTCATTGTTCCTGATGGTAACCTGAGGGTACTGCTGTGTGCTGCAAAAACAGGCTCAAGGAGAGGGGTATATTTTGTGGGCATTTAGGGGAACAGTTCTGGTGATGATGGTGGTGACCATTAGGGGCTAAACAGGGGGTGCACTGTAGCGCACCTCAACACTGAACTTGTCTGCTGTTTTGGGCGGCAGTGGCTTCTTCTGGATGCTCCTCTTCATGATCATCTCCTCATTAGCATAAATGGGTGCGTCAGTGTCGTCTGAGTGGTAGCCTGACTGGTACCCACTCGTCTGATTGGACGACTCGGAGGCCAGAGACTCCTTACTCTTACATCGCTGGATGTGACTAGAGGAGGACAGGAACCATTTATAATCCAATGAACAAATACAGTAACAATCACACAAATGCTGTGAGAGTCCAGAGTATAACACATAACCATTGGGATTGGGGGTTATGGGCCTCCTGTTTTCTCACCTGAAGTTGGACGTGCGGTGACGCTGATGGTCCAGACTCTTCATCTCCTCTGGTGATAGGCCCATACCGCTGTCAGTCTGACCATCCTGTAGGGAACACCCACATGGACTCAGATTATTGGCTGTTGATATGTAAGGGGGAGTAACACTGTGTAACCATGGAGACACTCACCATGACGCTGCTATGCTCCACAGGGATGTCATCAAAAGTCTTCACACTGAGTGGTCGACTGCACCTGTCACTCTGCTGGGAGAGCCTATAAGGAGGAGTGAGGGGGGTCAACAGCTAGGCCTCACAAGTTACACTAGCAACTAGCAAGTGTTCATACAAACTGCGCAAAGGTAGTCCACTATATTGGGGTTTCATTTGTGACAGATCAATGCGATGCTTGGTGTTAATTTGAGTCAGTGTGCATGCTTGCTGACCCGAGGGTGATGGGGGTGGTGTTGTCGCAGTGTATCTGGGGGACGTGGGTTTCCTCTCTGATGATCCTGGTGAAGGGGTTCCTGGGTTCAGGGCTGAGTGAGCCCCCCTCCACCTCCACTGCTGTCAGAGGGATGTAGTCCTTCCCATCCTGAAGGTAAACACACAACAATTACACTCTCAGACCTCACGCTCTCACCTCATACACACACAATAAGATGAACAAATTAACGTACCATGCACCTATACCTTCATAAATAAACTAGCACACATAATCAACACATGTACAGTGAGGGAAAAAAGTATTTGATCCCCTGCTGATTTTGTACATTTGCCCACTGATAAAGACATGATCAGTCTATAATTTTAATGGTAGGTTTATTTGGACAGTGAGAGACAGAATAACAACAAAAAAATCCAGAAAAACGCATGTAAAAAATGTTATAAATTGATTTGCATTTTAATGAGGGAAATAAGTATTTGACCCCTCTGCAAAACATGACTTACTACTTGGTGGCAAAACCCTTCTTGGCAATCACAGAGGTCAGACGTTTCTTGTAGTTGGCCACCAGGTTTGCACACATCTCAGGAAGGATTTTGTCCCACTCCTCTTTGCAGATCTTCTCCAAGTCATTAAGGTTTCGAGGCTGACGTTTGGCAACTCGAACCTTCAGCTCCCTCCACAGATTTTCTATGGGATTAAGGTCTGGAGACTGGCTAGGCCACTCAAGGACCTTAATGTGCTTCTTCTTGAGCCACTCCTTTGTTGCCTTGGCCGTGTGTTTTTGGGTCATTGTCATGCTGGAATACCCATCCATGACCCATTTTCAATGCCCTGGCTGAGGGCAGAAGGTTCTCACCCAAGATTTGACGGTACATGGCGCCGTCCATCGTCCCTTGGATGCGGTGAAGTTGTCCTGTCCCCTTAGCAGAAAAACACCCCCAAAGCATAATGTTTCCACCTACATGTTTGGCGGTGGGGATGGTGTTCTTGGGGTCATAGGCAGCATTCCTCCTCCTCCAAACACGGCGAGTTGAGTTGATGCCAAAGAGCCCGATTTTGGTCTCATCTGACCACAACACTTTAACCTAGTTATCCTCTGAATCATTCAGATGTTCATTGGCAAACTTTAGACAGGCCTGTATATGTGCTTTCTTGAGCAGGGGGACCTTGCGGGCGCTGCAGGATTTCAGTCCTTCACGGCGTAGTGTGTTACCAATTGTTTTCTTGGAGACTATGGTCCCAGCTGCCTTGAGATCATTGACAAGATCCTCCCGTGTAGTTCTGGGCTGATTCCTCACCATTCTCATGATCATTGCAACTCCACAAGGTGTGATCTTCCATGGAGCCCCAGGCCGAGGGAGATTGACAGTTATTTTGTGTTTCTTCCATTTGCGAATAATCGCACCAACTGTAGTCACCTTCTCACCAAGCTGCTTGGCGATGGTCTTGTAGCCCATTCCAGCCTTGTGTAGGTCTACAATCTTGTCCCTGACATCCTTGGAGAGCTCTTTGGTCTTGGCCATGGTGGAGAGTTTGGAATCTGATTGATTGATTGCTTCTGTGGACAGGTGTCTTTTATACAGATAACAAACTGAGATTAGGAGCACTCCCTTTAAGAGTGTGCTCCTAATCTCAGCTCGTTACCTGTATAAAAGACACCTGGGAGCCAGAAATCTTTCTGATTGAGAGGGGGTCAAATACTTATTTCCCTCATGAAAATGCAAATCAATTTATAACATTTTTGACATGTGTTTTCCTGGATTATTTTGTTGTTATTCTGTCTCTCACTGTTCAAATAAACCTAGCATTAAAATTATAGACTGATCATTTCTTTGTCAGCGGGCAAACGTACAAAATCAGCAGGGGATCAAATACTTTTTTCCCTCACTGTATGTACACAAACAGACCTGATGAGCGCTGGCCTGTAGCAGGTTTCCCAGATGTTCTACGAGCTCGGTGAAATTTGGTCTGTCTGTGGGTTTGTCTAGCCAGCAGTCCAACATGGTTTGATATCTAGGAGAACAATAGTCACCTGGTCATTTGTTAAATCATCACTGCAACACACTGCAATGGTGTCACATTGTTGTCTATAGCTTCTTGTGGCAGATTCTATTGGCAGATAATTGTATTTCACAGTCATAATGCAATTGAGCAGGCTTCAGTATGTAATGTAGTGTGATATGCCGTATATCAGTAGTCCACTCACATCTCAGTGGTGGCATAGTCTGGTGCTCTCATCCTGGTCCCTTCCTTCAACCTCCTGCAGAATGCCTCATCAATGCCAACACCAGGGTATGGAGATGCCCCTGTAGTGGAGAGAACAACCGTTATAATACAGTCACAGTGTGGTCATAGTGTGGTCATAGTGTGGTCATTGTGTGGTCATAGTGTGGTCATAGTGTGGTCATAGTGTGGTCATAGTGTGGTCATAGTGTGGTCATAGTGTGGTCATAGTGTGGTCATAGTGTGGTCATAGTGTGGTCATAGTGCGGCCACTAAGTGGTCAAGTTGGGTTTGAAGAGGTACTGTCACTTGGCTCACCCAGTGAGAAGATCTCCCAGAGTAGAATGCCAAAGGACCACACGTCGCTCTGTGTGGTATAGACCCGGTCAAAGATGGTCTCAGGAGCCATCCATTTCAGAGGGAGCCGCGCCTGTAGAGAGAATCACAGTTTATAAAACAGTTTATGAGACGTCATAATAACCACTGTTAGTGACTGAGGTACGGCGTGTTCTTAGTAGCTTACGTCTCCCTTGCGGACATAGTCGGGGTCTTTGTAGACGTCTCTGGCCAGACCAAAGTCACAGATCTTCACAACATTGTTTTCTGAGAGCAAGATGTTCCTAGCTGCCAGGTCCCGATGGATGCACTTGCGAGAGGAGAGGAACTCCATGCCCTTGGCCACCTGGAAGCTGTAGCTGATCAGGTCCTCCATGGTCAAGTGCTCCTCCCACTCACAACTCCCTGCATGGGGTCAAATTGGGCATTTAGTAATAGCATATATATCATAACAAATACAGTGGAAAGTTTAAATGATCACATTATCACATCATACATTATACATTGTGATCAGTGAAGTGGGATGTAGGATCTTTTGTTGCTTAGAATTTTCCTGCAAAAAAGGCTTCTAAAGTTTGTAATTTCCACTTTGAAATTAATTTCAGACTTGATTTGCCCTAACGAAAAATGTATCAACCCCTACAAAAATGTCCATCAATTATAATCCAAATAATAATTCAAATTAAGATCCTACATCTATATAAATCCTATTGGTGATATGTACAGTATTTGCATGTGGTGAGTATGGAGGTATAAAGCTGCAGTACCATCCTCCTCCTCTATGTGGCTAACAGAGCTCTCCTCTCCCAGTCTGGAGCAGACTGCTGTCCCAGTGCAAATGTCCAAGTGGGTGCTGGTCCCCAAACCCAGATCCCCTTCAGTCACGTCCTCCTCCATCCGCTCCCACTGACCTGACCGCGGCCGCCTCCTCTGTAACCATGGAGAAATGGCATGTCAAAGGATCAAGGACCAAAAGTCCAATAGAGAACTGGACTGGAAAACTCCTGGCCCTAGCAATACGACACGAAATGGAAGCTGGTAGATTCCAGCGGATCAGGCAGACAACATGAGAGCATCACAGAGAACAGTTGTGTTATGGTCTGGAATCAGTGTAACCACATCAGAGGCTGTCTGGGCTTTACAGACTGCTGTTTCTGGGGCATGGCTCATTTACCTTGAAGGGGCTGTATTCTCCACGCTTGCTCTTTAAGTAGCTGGAGAGGTTGCCATGTTTACAGTACTCCACAATCACCATCAATGGACCTGAGGGATGAAGGGAGATGGAGGGAGAAAAGGTTCAATATCAGAGGAACGTCATCACTTCACTGGAGCTCTGTAGAATGTTTATGTGTAGTAAAGTAAGGGAAAGCGTAGGAGTGAGAAAGAGAGAGAGGACATGGAAACAGAGGCCCTCTTCCCCATTCCCGGAACATGGCTTCCTCTCTGCGGTTTGAGCAGATATACAATTAGGACAGATAGAGCATGCTCGTTATTCTCTGCCTCTCACCACTAATAAAGCAGACACTTCCTGATGAATACAATGTGCAGAACACAAATGGAAGAGGCGTAGGAAGGGGTGCCAAGAAAGGTAGAAGCAGAGATGTGAGAGAGAAAAAGAGGGGGAAAGAAAATAGGAAAGGAAATATGTAAAATATGAAATGTGTGAGTGTGTGTTCATAACGTGAAGACTCACTCCCTGGTTTGGTGCAGGCCCCCAGCAGGTTGACTACATTGAGATGATGGCCGATGTGGATGAGGATCTTCAGCTCTGACAACAGTGCACGGTACTCACTGGAGGTGGCTCCCTCTGTGGTGGGCAGAGATAAAACTCAGTCAGCTCATATAGTGTGTTTGTGTGTGTGTGTGTGTGTGTGTGTGTTGCTTGCATGTGTGTATGCCAGGGGATGAGAAGGAGGTGTACCCACCTTTCAGCATCTTGACTGCCACTGTAGTGCAGGTAGTGGCTTTCTCTATGCCAAAGGCAGCTGCCTCTACTACCTGTCCAAAAGCTCCTCGTCCCAATTGGTCACCTTCAAAACACACCATATATCATTTCAGACAGTGGATTTAAAACTTTAGTCTCACTTGTGTATAACGTCTCTTTCTCCAAAAAATATTACCCATAAGGATCTGAAAGTCTCACCTAGCTTCAGCCTGTCACGAGGGAACTCCCACTTGTTGGCATCGTATGTGAGCCTCTCACAGTGCTCGTCCATGGGCATGTCCTCAGATTCAAGGATGATGGACAGGTACCCTGTCTTCATGTCCCCATTATTTGGCTAGAGAGAGGGAGTTGAGAGAGAGAGAAATATACAGTACCAGTCAAAAGTTTGGACACACCTACTCATTCCAGGGTTTTTCTTTATTTTTACTATTTTCTACATTGTAGAATAATAGTGAAGACAACAAAAAACTATGAAAACACATTTGGGATCATGTAATAACCAAAAACGTGTTAAACAAATCAAAATATATTTTTGATTCTTCAAAGTAGCCACCCTTTGATTTGATGACAGCTTTGCACACTCTTGGCATTCTCTCAACCAGCTTCACCTGGAATGCTTTTCCAACAGTCTTGAAGGAGATCCCACATATTCTGAGCACTTGTTGGCTGCTTTCCCTTCACTCTGCGGTCCGACTCATCCCAAACCACCTCAATTGTGGAGACCAGGTCATCTGATGCAGCACTCCATCACTCTCCTTCTTGGTACAATAGCCCTTACACAGCCTGGAGATGTGTTGGGTCATTGTCCTGTTGAAAAACAAGTGATAGTCCCACTAAGCCCAAACCAGATGGGATGGCGTATCACTGCAGAATGCTGTGATAGCAATGCTGGTTATGTGTGCCTTGAATTCTAAATAAATCACAGACAGTGTCACCAGCAAAGCACCCCCACACCATAACACCTCCTCCTCCATGCTTTACGGTGGGAAATACACATGCGGAGATCATCTGTTCACCCACACCGCGTTTCACAAAGACACTGAGGTTGGAACCAAAAATCTCCAATTTGGACTCCAGACCAAAGGACAAATTTCCACTGGTCTAATGTCAATTGCTCGTGTTTCTTGGCCCAAGCAGGTCTCTTCTTCTTATTGGTGTCCTTTAGTAATGGTTTCTTTGCAGCAATTCGACAATGAAGGCCTGATTCACACAGCCTCCTCTGAACAGTTGATGTTGAGATGTGTCTGTTACTTGAACTCTGTGATGTATTTATTTGGGCTGCAATTTCTGAGGCTGGTAACTCTAATGAATTTATCCTCTGCAGCAGAGGTAACTCTGGGTCCTCCTTTCCTGTGGCGGTCCTCATGAGAGCCAGTTTCATCATAGCGCTTGATGGTTTTTGCGACTGCACTTGAAGAAACTTTCAAAGTTCTTGAAATGTTCCGTATTGACTGACCTTCATGTCCTAAAGTAATGATGGGCTGTCGTTTCTCTTGGCTTATTTGAGCTGTTCTTGACATAATATGGACTTGGTCTTTTTTAAAATATTATTATTTATATATTGCAGATAGATTGTAACTTCCATCAATGTAATTGTCTGCATCACTTCCAATTCCCCATATGTTTTTTTTCTCTCGCAAGTATATATATAAATATATATATATATATATATATATATATATATATATATATATACACACATACATATACATACATACATATACAGTTGAGGTAGGAAGTTTACATACACCTTAACCAAATAGATTTAAACTCAGTTTTTCACAATTCCTGACATTTAATCCTTGTAAAAATTCCCTGTTTTAGGTCAGTTAGGATCACCACTTCATTTTAAGTATATGAAATGTCAGAATAATATTGGAGATAATTATTTATTTCAGCTTTTATTTATTTCATCACATTCCCAGTGAGTCAGAAGTTTACATTCACTCAAATAGTATTTGGTAGCATTGCCTTTAAATTGTTTAACTTGGGTCAAATGTTTCGGGTAGCCTTCCACAAGCTTCCCAAAATAAGTTGGTTGAATTTTGGCCCATTCCTCCTGACAGAGCTGGTGTAACTGAGTCAGGTTTGTAGGCCTCCTTGCTTACACACGCTTTTTCAGTTCTGCCCACAAATGTTCTATAGGATTGAGGTCAGGGCTTTGTGATGGCCACTTCAATATCTTGACTTTGTTGTCCTTAAGCCATTTTGCCACAATTTTGGAAGAATGCTTGGGGTCATTGTCCATTTGGAAGACCCATTTGCGACCAAGCTTTAACTTCCTGATTGATGTCTTGAGATGTTGCTTCAATATATCCACATAATTTTCCTTCCTCATGATGACACTGCTGGTCCTGCTCACACTGCCCTACCCTATGCTTTGACTTCTTTCTCCCCTCTCTCTCCAGATGAAATCTTGCGACTTGTGATGGCCGGCCGCCCAACAACCTGCCCGCTTGACCCTATCCCCTCCTCTCTTCTCCAGACCATCTCCGGTGACCTTCTCCCTTACCTCACCTCGCACATCAACTCATCCTTGACCGCTGGCTATGTCCATTCCGTCTTCAAGAGAGCGAGAGTTGCACCCCTTCTCAAAAAACCAACACTCGATCCCTCCGATGTCAACAACTACAGACCAGTATCCCTTCTTTCTTTTCTCTCCAAAACTCTTGAGCGTGCCATCTTTAGCCAACTCTCTTGCTATCTCTCTCAGAATGACCTTCTAGATCCAAACCAGTCAGGTTTCAAGACTGATCATTCAACTGAGACTGCTCTTCTCTGTGTCACGGAGGCTCTCCGCACTGCTAAAGCTAACTCTCTCTCCTCTGCTCTTGTCCTTCTAGACCTGTCTGCTGCCTTTGATACTGTGAACCATCAGATCCTCCTCTCCACCCTCTCCGAGTTGGGCATCTCCAGCGCGGCTCACTCTTGGATTGCGTCCTACCTGACCGGTTGCTCCTACCAAGTGGCATGGCGAGAATCTGTCTCCGCACCACGTGCTCTCACCACTGGTGTCCCCCAGGGCTCAGTTCTAGGCCCTCTCCTATTCTCGCTATACACCAAGTCACTTGGCTCTGTCATATCCTCACATGGCCTCTCCTATCATTGCTACGCAGACGACACACAACTAATCTTCTCCTTTCCCCCTTCTGATAACCAGGTGGCGAATCGCATCTCTGCATGTCTGGCAGACATATCAGTGTGGATGACGGATCACCACCTCAAGCTGAACCTCGGCAAGACGGAGCTGCTCTTCCTCCCGGGGAAGGACTGCCCATTCCATGATCTCGCCATCACGGTTGACAACTCCGTTGTGTCCTCCTCCTAGAGGGCGAAGAGCCTTGGCGTGACCCTGGACAACACCCTGTCATTCTCCGCTAACATCAAGGCGGTGACCCGATCCTGTAGGTTCATGCTCTACAACATTCGGAGAGTACGACCCTGCCTTACACAGGAAGCAGCACAGGTCCTAATCCAGGCACTTGTCATCTCCCGTCTGGATTACTGCAACTCGCTGTTGGCTGGGCTCCCTGCCTGTGCCATTAAACCCCTACAACTCATCCAGAATGCCGCAGCCCGTCTGGTGTTCAACCTTCCCAAGTTCTCTCACGTCACCCCCGCTCCTCCGCACACTCCACTGGCTTCCAGTTGAAGCTCGCATCTGCTACAAGACCATGGTGCTTGCCTACGGAGCTGTGAGGGGAACGGCACCTCCGTACCTTCAGGCTCTGATCAGTCCCTACACCCAAACGAGGGCATTGCGTTCATCCACCTCTGGCCTGCTGGCCCCCCTACCTCTGCGGAAGCACAGTTCCCGCTCAGCCCAGTCAAAACTGTTCGCTGCTCTGGCACCCCAATGGTGGAACAAGCTCCCTCACGACACCAGAACAGCGGAGTCACTCACCACCTTCCGGAGACACTTGAAACCCCACCTCTTTAAGGAATACCTGGGATAGGATAAAGTAATCCTTCTACCCCCCCCTTACCCCACCCCAAAGAAAGAAAAAAAATACATATTGTAAAGTGGTTATCCCACTGGCTATAAGGTGAATGCACCAATTTGTAAGTCGCTCTGGATAAGAGCGTCTGCTAAATTATGAAAATGTAAATGTAATGCCATCTATTTTGTGAAGTGCACCAGTCCCTCCTGCAGCAAAGCACCCCCACAGCATGATGCTGCCACCCCCGTGCTTCACGGTTGGGATGGTGTTCTTCGGCTTGCAAGCAACCCCCTTTTCCCTCCAAACATAATGATGGTCATTATGGCAAACAGTTCTATTTTTGTTTCATCAGACCAGAGGACATTCCTCCAAAAAGTACGATCTTTGTCCCCATGTGCAGTTGCAAACCGTAGTCTGGCTTTTTTATGGCGGTTTTGGAGCAGTGGCTTCTTCCTTGCTGAGCGGCCTTTCAGGTTATGTCGATATAGGACTCGTTTTACTGTGGATATAGATACTTTTGTACCTGTTTCCTCCAGCATCTTCAGAAGGTCCTTTGCTCTTGTTCTGGGATTAATTTGCACTTTTCGCACTAAAGTACGTTCATCACTAGGAGACAGAATGCGTCTCCTTCCTGAGCGGTATGACAGCAGAGTGGTCCCATGGTGTTTATACTTGCGTACTATTGTTTGTACAGATGAACGTGGTACCTTCAGGAATTTAGAAATTGCTCCCAAGGATGAACCAGACTTGTGGAGGTCTACAATTATTTTTCTGAGGTCTTGGCTGAATTCTTTTGATTTTCCCATGATGTCAAGCAAAGAGGCACTGAGTTTGAAGGTAGGTCTTGAAATACATCCTTAAAGGCACAGTCAACTTAGTGTATGTAAACTTCTGACCCTCTGGAATTGTGATACAGTGAATTATAAGTGAAATAATCTGTCTGTAAACAATTGTTGGAAAAATTACTTGTGTCATGCACAAAGTAGATGTCCTAACCGACTTGCCAAAACTATAGTTTGTTAAAAATAAATTTGCGGAGGGGTTGAAAAACGAGTTTCAATGACTCCAACCAAAGTGTTTGTAAACTTCCGACTGTATATACATATCCTTTAAAAAATATATATTTCCCTTTATTACTTTCCAACCCCACCACCCCTCCCCTAATTGGAGAAAACTAGTGAACAACAACGCTTAGGCCTCTACTTCCATCTTATACATACTATATACATTTTATGGACACAGTCAATTTTACAGTAATTCTATTTTGTTTGTTTTTACTCCTGAACTTCCTCTACCCTCAACCTCTCTGATCATTTTCATGATGTCCATCTGGTTTGCTTCTATATGCCATATATTTTTTATTGTGCTCTTTCACAAAAGCTCTCAACCTATAACCTATATACTTATTATGGACACAGTATGCTTTACATTAGTTATCTTGTTGTTATTAGTTGTTGTTAGTTGTTATTAGTCCCATCCTTCAGCTCCATTCAATACCTCCCATCTACAGTGGGGAAAAACGTATTTAGTCAGCCACCAATTGTGCAAGTTCTCCCACTTAAAAAGATGAGAGAGGCCTGTAACTTTCATCATAGGTACACGTCAACTATGACAGACAAATTGAGATTTTCTTTCTCCAGAAAATCACATTGTAGGATTTTTAATGAATTTATTTGCAAATTATGGTGGAAAATAAGTATTTGGTCACCTACAAACAAGCAAGATTTCTGGCTCTCACAGACCTGTAACTTCTTCTTTAAGAGGCTCCTCTGTCCTCCACTCGTTACCTGTATTAATGGCACCTGTTTGAACTTGTTATCAGTATAAAAGACACCTGTCCACAACCTCAAACAGTCACACTCCAAACTCCACTATGGCCAAGACCAAAGAGCTGTCAAAGGACACCAGAAACAAAATTGTAGACCTGCACCAGGCTGGGAAGACTGAATCTGCAATAGGTAAGCAGCTTGGTTTGAAGAAATCAACTGTGGGAGCAATTATTAGGAAATGGAAGACATACAAGACCACTGATAATCTCCCTCGATCTGGGGCTCCACGCAAGATCTCACCCTGTGGGGTCAAAATGATCACAAGAACGGTGAGCAAAAATCCCAGAACCACACGGGGGGACCTAGTGAATGACCTTCAGAGAGCTGGGACCAAAGTAACAAAGCCTACCATCAGTAACACACTACGCCGCCAGGGACTCAAATCCTGCAGTGCCAGACGTGTCCCCCTGCTTAAGCCAGTACATGTCCAGGCCCGTCTGAAGTTTGCTAGAGTGCATTTGGATGATCCAGAAGAGGATTGGGAGAATGTCATATGGTCAGATGAAACCAAAATAGAACTTTTTGGTAAAAACTCAACTCGTCGTGTTTGGAGGACAAAGAATGCTGAGTTGCATCCAAAGAACACCATACCTACTGTGAAGCATGGGGGTGGAAACATCATGCTTTGGGGCTGTTTTTCTGCAAGGGACCAGGACGACTGATCCGTGTAAAGGAAAGAATGAATGGGGCCATGTATCGTGAGATTTTGAGTGAAAACCTCCTTCCATCAGCAAGGGCATTGAAGATGAAACGTGGCTGGGTCTTTCAGCATGACAATGATCCCAAACACACCGCCCGGGCAACGAAGGAGTGGCTTCGTAAGAAGCATTTCAAGGTCCTGGAGTGGCCTAGCCAGTCTCCAGATCTCAACCCCATAGAAAATCTTTGGAGGGAGTTGAAAGTCCATGTTGCCCAGTGACAGCCCCAAAACATCACTGCTCTAGAGGAGATCTGCATGGAGGAATGGGCCAAAATACCAGCAACAGTGTGTGAAAACCTTGTGAAGACTTACAGAAAACGTTTGACCTGTGTCATTGCCAACAAAGGGTATATAACAAAGTACTGAGAAACTTTTGTTATTGACCAAATACTTATTTTCCACCATAATTTGCAAATAAATTCATTAAAAATCCTACAATGTGATTTTCTGGAAAAAAAATTCTCATTTTGTCTGTCATAGTTGACGTGTACCTATGATGAAAATTACAGGCCTCTCTCATCTTTTTAAGTGGGAGAACTTGCACAATTGGTGGCTGACTAAATACTTTTTTTCCCCACTGTATCTCTTAACACCATCCATATTGGATTTTTTATTTGCCATATATTTTTCAACTGTACTGTGATGTTTCACAAAAGTTCTGAACCTTTCTATTCTCATTGTTTCTACAGATTGTAAATTGAAAATAAACATTTTTGCTAAAAGTATTATTATAGTATTGATCGATTGACTATGACTTTTCAAATCACCCAGTAGTGCTATCTGCAGGGTTAGCTCCAGGTAAATATTGCAATCCTTCAGCCATTCCTGGACCTGTGACCAAAAACAAGCTACAAATGGACAGTACCAAAACAAATGATCTAATGATTCTGTCTCTTCGCAGCAAAATCTACAGAGCTGAGAAGATTGTATCCCCCTTATAAATAACATTCTATTGGTAGCAATAATTTTGTATAATAATTTAAATTGAAAAATTCTAAGTTTTGAATCCAGCGTTGTGTTGCGTATTACACTATGCCATGGAATCGGTACGTCAAAAATCTCTTCCCAACTATTTTGCAATCTATATGGGACGGCTGTCAATCCTTTGGTCCTTAAATGAAACTGGTATACTTTTTAATTGATTGGACTTTTACCAAATAGGGCTATCTTCTGTATACCCCCTACCATGTCACAACACAACTGATTGGCTCAAATGCATTAAGAAGGAAAGAAATTCCACAAATTAACTTTTAAGAAGGCACACCTGTTAATTAAAATGCAATAAAGCGGTGACTACCTCATGAAGCTGGTTGAGAGAATGCGACAAGTGTTCAAAGCTGTCATCAAGGCAAAGAGTGGCTATTTGAAGAATTTGTTTAACACTTTTTTAGTTACTACATGATTCCATATGTGTTATTTCATAGTTTTGATGTCTTCACTATTATTCTACAATATAAAAAATAGTTAAAATAAAGAAAAACCCTTGAATGAGTAGGTGTGTCCAAACTTTTGACTGGTACTGTATATATTTTTACTATATTACATATTTTCTATAATGACCTACAGATATAGTGCCTTCAGACATTTCCCCTGATGGATGGAAAGCCCCGTTTTATGTTTATATATGAATGTGTGTCTATGAGAGTTTGTCTATGAGAGAGTGAGTTAGTCCCCTATCAGTGCCTCTGCTGGTCCATCAGATAGAAGCCATGCCAGGCCCAGCCAGTGATGGAGGGACTGAGCTACGTGAATTCTGGCAGCAGAATGTGGCTCTGTTGTTCCCCAACACAAAGGAGAGTAGACACTGAGCTAGACCAGTCACTTCTCATCTGTCAGACCCATCCGTCTGTGTGTATGGCTGTGTGTGTATGTGACTGTGCAGAGGGGTGTGGAAAGGAGGGAAAGGGGATGAGTAGAGCAGTCTTACTCTTTTCCTGCTGCGGATGACGAAGACGATGAGTAGCCAGAAGAACATGGCGATGACCACAGAGCCAATAGGAACAATCAGCTCTACATTAGTCTTCTCCTCTGCTCCTACAACCAAAACAATCACCAGAGTGAGTATGAACTAGTATGAACTACAGTAAACGGTACAAGAGTATTTACCTCTTCATTACTCAGTCGTTCTATATGTATGTCAGTCAGTACACATTATTTTTAAACTATTTCTTTACAGACCATGTCAGTCAGATCTATTGTCAATCACTTGAAAAAAAGTTATATTTAATTTAAATTGTTCATAGTTTTGTGTTTTTCCTTTTGAAATAGATTTTCTCTGTCAATTTGGAATTTGGAGAATTTGCCAATTACAACGGGCTTTGGCTGTAAATCAGTACCAAGCTAGGAGGAACACGGTTTCAGGAAACCTGTGTGTCTGTGTGCGTGTTTGTATTGGAGGAAGGGCACTGTTGGAATTCAGGCTGTGAGCAGACCTGATATTCTATCTAGTCATAACAAATATTCTGGGGCCAGCATCACTCTGGCCAAAGTCAACCTGGAAAAAAACTGTAATTTCACTATACGTCTGTGACTACAAGTTGTAGAACCCTAATGATCTACCCCCATCGTCAATGTTGACACCCTACTCCTTCTCTCTCTTTCCATCTCTATCCCCTTTTCTCTCTTTCGCCAAATATCCCTCTCTCGTCATCCGCCCACGTATAACAGGAACTTCTCGTTAGTGAGCTGAGGCAGCCTCTGTCCTCTGTCCTGTCTCGTTAGTGAGGCTCACTGGTGCCTGAGAGACCCTGAGCTCTGACTGGGTGCCGGGCCGGTGGCCAGTGGCTTGTGGCGGGGGCTGGGTCACGTAGGTCCTACAGATGTAGGATCTTAATTTGAGCCAGTTTGCTACAGAAGGAAAATAATCCTGCAGCAACATTAAATGTGAATTATTATGTGGATTATAATTAATGGACATTTTTTGTAGGGGTTAATACATTTTTTGTTAGGGCAAATCAAGTCTGACATTTTAAAGTGGAAATTACAAACTTTAGAAGCCTTTTTAAACCTTAAATACACTGCAAGTTTGCAGAGTGATCAAATTAAGATCCTACATCTGTAACTGGTCACTCTGTATGTCTGTTTGTTTGTTGCTGTGTCTCAGTGTTCTGGGTCGGCCCCTCCCTTTGTCCTTGTTGGGCTTCTTATTGTTTGGTATTCTGAAACTCCCAGGAGGATGTGCTCTAACAGGGCCCGCTTCCTGCTCCGTGGGGGAACACTTATTTGTACACTTCATCTTTGATTTAACAGAATGGGGAAGTGAATCAGGGGAACCTTGAGGCCAGCTATTTAAAACATCTATAAATGAATGAATGGGAGTTTATGGGTAAGACATCATGAGTAAAACTGAACAAATTAATTGTGGTATGAATCTCTTTGGTTATGGCAGTACCTTCTTTTGGTTATAAATATACCACCAGAGAACAGGAAATACAGGCATTTTGACATACTGCATTATGTCTGCAGGGTGATTAGTGGTGGCTGTTTCCTGTCCTGTGATCCATTTTCCCGTAGTGGGAGGGAGAGACTGACCTTCAGTGATAAGGTAGGTCTGAGATGTGTCGCAGCCCCGGCTGTTACAGGCAGTACAGGTATACAGACCACCGTCCTCCTTCTTCACACGCTGGATTGTCAGGGTCTGGTTCAATCGGCTCAGAATCACACCTGTGGCAAAAAAAGAACGTGGCATTAATACCAATATTGTACTGTACGTAACACAAAGTAGAAGTGGTATTAGTAACCATTGAGTCATGCCCTTACCTGAGCCCTCCACCACTGTTTGGTTGTGTTTGGTCCACATCACGGTCGGGGTGGGTGTACCGGTCACCTCACATATTAGCATGGTCGTCGCACTGACGTTCACTCTCTGGTCTGTCAAATTGTTCAGGATCCTCGCGGCCTCAAGAGCTAAAAAAACAAACAAGAAGTCAGGCCTCTAAAGATTTTGCCAAACACTAGACTAGATCTAGAAAGCTGTGCTACCCATGAGAGGACCTGTGAGAGTGGTCCAAGTGATTGTGGAGATGACTGATAAATATGGTCCAGGTACAGATCCATACCTCTGAGGGTGAGGTGTCGGAGGAGACAGGTCCTCTCCCCAGTCTTGATGTTCTCCACCTGGCAGGCGTACACCCCCTGGTCCCCCCGAGACACGTTGGCCAGGGGCAGCTCCAGGGTGACGTTGGTGCCGTGCAGCCCAGAGAGGACAGCCTGGGACAGGGGCTGCTGGGACAGGGACAGGGCCCGACAGGGCTGCACGGCTGGGACCTGTTCTGGGTCAAACACATTGCCCACACGGAACCAGGCCAGATTTCCATAGATCAGCCTGTCTGCCTTACACCTCAAAACCACCTGGTCCTGCTCAATGGGCTGATGGGACGGAGACACACTCAGCTCCAAACCACCTGTAGAGTAGACAATCACACACACACACTTAATCATGACGATGCACCAATGAACACAAACAGAAAGAACAGAAGAAGCATAAAAAGAAGCTTACGTGTCACATGGAAGACGATGATGCGTGAATCTTGTCCCGCTTTGTTAGAAGTCAGGCATTTGTAGAGGGCGTGGACCTTGGCTTTCTGGATCTTCAGAGAACTCACAGTCTGCAGACAAACATGATCTTTACTATTATTTTACTAATTAATTGATATAATAATGACTGAAATCATTTAGAGAGGAAGGAATGGTATTTACCTTGTGTAGGTGATCTGTGTCAGTGCTAATTCGGTCGATAGGATTCTGCCCTGTGGTATTGCTGATGTCCCTCCATTTGGTACAGTCCTCCAGCTTGACCCCAGAGTTCACCACTCCTGACCTGCAGGACAAAACCAAAATCACTCCACTGACACACTGCTATTATCAGACACAAGAAATCCATATAACCACAGCACCGTAGATACACAAACACAAATAAACATACACACACACACACAAATATAAAAAGAGCACTATGACCTTTATAAATACAATATGTAGATCCCTGATCTATTGGTCTATTGGTCCCTGTTCTCAGCTGGGAGATGGTTATTTCAGGAGAGGTTACGTCATTTATTTACAGACTGGAGTGGGTGGGATTGTCAACAAAGACACACCACTACAGTAGAGACCAGAACTCAAACAAAGGAGCAAGATAAAAGAGATGCATAGAAATAGACACAGAGAGAAGAGAGAGAGAGAGAGAGAGAGAGAGAGAGAGAGAGAGAGAGAATAGAGAGAGCGTGAGAGAGATAGAGAAAACGTAAACACGAGACACGAGTAGATAGAGCTAGTATGACATCTCTAGACTCGCGACTCTCCCCTCTCCTCCCCCTCCCCAGCCCCTCCATCTCTTCTCTCTGCTCCTCTCTCCTCTCTCTCTCCCTATCTCTCCCCTCTCTCTCTTCCCCCCTCTCTCTCTCTCTCTCTCTCTCCCTCTCTTCTCTCTCTCTCTCCTCCCTCCTCTCCTCCTCGTCTCTCTCCTCCCTCCCTCTCTCTCCGCTCCCTCCTCCCTCTCTCTCTCTCTCTCCCTCCTCTCTCTCTCTCTCGCTCTCTCTCTCCTCCCTCTCTCTCTCTCTCCCCTCCCGCTCTCTCTCTCCTCTCCTCTCTACGCTCTCTCCTCTCTCCCCCTCTCGCCTCCGCTGTCTCTGTTTTTTTTCGTTCAGGAAGACGAGGAGGTAGAGATGGGGTTTGCACAGGAAGAAGCCTTTAGACAGAGTAGTGCACTGGGAACAACAGGAAACCCTGACCAGGGCTGAGGAAGTGCTTGGATGTGCAGGCTGAAGATAAGGCCTTACTGTTGGTCTGTACAGTAGACTGGACCATACACTCCAACCACTCTATCAACAATCCTCACATTACTGCATACCTGAGGGGCCCATTCACTAATCACAACCCATTCTGAAGCCCCAGCTCTACCCAATCAACATCTTCCTAAGAGACTCAATCATCAAAGTTCTCTGGAATACAAGGCTATCCATAATCCATAGAGAATACTGGAATCATATAAAAATACATACAAAACCATACAAACACACAAAGATAAGATTGGTTTTTCTCAGTCTAACGCTCCCTGGTGTTTTTTAATTATGCACGCAATTTATTGTGAGAAGTATGAATCACATCCTATAATCTGATGCAGGTCACAGGGCACACTCATTGTCTCTGTTAATGCTTTCATCAACATCTAGAATGCTGATCTTCCTCCACAGAATCAACAACATGTTGACAATGACCGGCAGGGTGAGGTTACACACACACACACACACACACATGTACGAGCACGCACCATGCAGACACGCACTCACGCACGTTCGCGCACACACGCACACAGTGAACGTGAGACTTACTGAAAGAGGATTGGGCAGTCCTCTCTGGACATCCACTGCCATTGGATGCGTGTGGGGGTGGGGATTCCACGGGCAGTGCACCTGAGGGTGGGGCTGCTGCCGTACATGTGAACATCAGTGTCCACAGCAACCTCCTTCTCAATGATATGGGGAGGGACTGAGGAGACATGAACCATGACTTGAAAAGTGCAAACTTCATTTGGCCCTAGGCTAAGTGCAGTGTGAACACAGCAATGGTCACATCACAGTTGAAGCCTAAAACAGAGGTACAGCATAAAGGAGAAAGCGAGAGGGGGGAATTATAGGACAAATGGGAGGGAGGAGCAAGAGAGGAGAGGAAGAGAAGACTGGAGAGAGTAATGAGAGAGGAATGGGAGATAGGAGAGGGGAGGAGGTACATACCATTGACCAAGAGCTGGACGGAGCGTCTCTGCTCTTCTTTTGTTATCTTATTGATCAAGACCACGGTGTAATTCCCAGCATCCTTTTCAGCTAGGCCAAGGATCATGAGAGAGTCCCTGGCAGGTTTAAATCTATAGTCATCCTTATAGATAGGCTGGCCATTCTTATACCTGCAGAAATAAGGACAGGTTACATTTACACAAATACCTAGTATACATCGAATACAATACAAACTACTGCAAGCATATACAGTATATAATTACTGTACATGATCAACGTACCATCTGACTGTAGGTTCTGGGTAGGCGTCGAACTTGACTGGGATCTTAATGGTCTGGGCTCTGGCGTTCACCCCCAGAACATTAACCCACTTGTGGTCATCGAAATCAATAAAAGGCTTTTCTAATGACAACAAAAACAACATAAACAGTGTCACCTAACATAGTCATCAAAACAATTAAATGTCACAAAGTAACATTATCGATTATTGTGCAATAAATCCAGACCAATGTAAATTATTAATCTAAGACAATAAGAGGATATCCGCAAAAACGTTTAAAAACCTCCAGACTATGTACCTTGGGCAACAGATGTGGCTTAAACTACTAAGTGTACCTACCAAAGACCACAAGAGATGCAGATGCAGTTTTGACCATCTGTCCACTGGAGGCTGTGCAGGTGTACTTTCCTGTGTAGTTGCCGGTCACGTTCTCCACTATGAGTGTGTTGGACAGTTCCAGAGAGTTCCACAGCTTCTTCTTGTGTGACGTGGTGTAGGTCCGCACAGAGCCATTCACTGGGGCCTGCAAGTGGGGCAGAAGGAAGAGTGAGGGGATAAGAGCATTGTAAATCAACCTAAAGACTGGTATAAGTGCACATGATAAGATAATGCCATGAATGATATAAGGGCAGCATTGAACTGAAGTTATGTTTAAAAAACGTTCCTGAAAGCAGGAAGTAAGGATGAAACCTTGGGAGTAAGAGGAAGTGAGATATCATATGATATCCCTCTCTTGACTGGAATATGTCTATGGTGAGTCAGGTTAGCGTCAATATCATCACCATGTCTATGATTTCAGTGTTTGGTGGAATGCGATGAGTAACGTCGGTCAATAAAGCCTGAGTCAGTGATTTCATGTGCATTTAGTAATCACAGGCTGTCTATAAAAGTGGGCCATGCAGGGTACTGACCAGGCTGATAGGGTGTGTCCAAGTGAAGTCGATGGCCACGTTGAGCTCTGTGTAGGCAGTGCAGTTTAGCACCAATCTCTCCCCCACAGACAGCCTCTCATGTGCCGGGGTCAGGGTGAGGTCATGGATCTTATATCCTGCGGAAAAGGGAGGGGAGACACAGCGGAGCGGTGAGCAGGCTATTGTTCTCCTGAGACTCACAAACACACACACACAGTTATGTAAACACAAATAAACACACACTTAGATTGACACTTTCAATGACACCTTGGCACTGTATCTACAGTAAGTCATACATACAGTGGATCAAATAGGATTCATACACTAAACTAAAACATTTACATTTTAGCAGACGCTCTTATCCAGAGCGACTTACAGTTAGTGAGTGCATACATTTTTCATACTGGTCCCCCCGTGGGAAACGAACCCACAACCCTGGTGTTGCAAGCGCCATGCTCTACCAACTGAGCTACAGTTACCTAACCCACTTACCAACAACAGCAACAATGTAGAGAGGTGACTTGTAGGTCTCGTTGCGTATGTGTGTCTGACAGAAGACCACTCCAGCATAGCTGATCAGGTGACTGGGGACTGAGAAACCCTTCATACTATCCCAAAAAATGTCCTTCCCGTTCGGATAGAGTTCTTTCTTGGGAAACTTCTGACAAAAAGGACACAGAATAAAAAAAGAAAAACAAATTACAGATACATCACAACATTGCATCGATTTGACAAAACTGAGTAAAGCTGGTTCTATGCTGGTTGACTCTATCTAGTGGTGCTGATCGACCAACCCTCACATGGAAATTATGAGTGATGTTTTACCACTTGATCAGCACTGGCTAGGTCAGAGGGCGTTGTGGTTTTTCCAACACTCATTTTCAGTAAAATGTCCTATGAACCATATAGGCCATATACGAGGTCCCAGAGTTCTAATACTGACTGAAGGTGGGGACAACCCAGATAGGAAATGGAAACTCAGTTTATTGTTCCCCTGATCTGACATGAAAACAATGCAACAGACTCAGAATGACAACTGACATTATCTGCCGCCCACAAAGCCTGCAGTCTAACGAAACATACCTAAGAGAGCAAGGTCTTTACCAACTGGCTTTGTTGACAGAGTAGCAGCACAAATGTAGGCTACTTCATGTAGTTAGACTATAGGAAAGGCAGGTTTGAGGTGAAGCAGGTTTAGTTGTCAACTTTAGACAAAATAAGACACGATAGAATAACTTCTGGAATTTTGACTACATTCTGAACAGAATATATTGCATGTATCCCATACTGTACATACTGTTCTGTGTTTTAATGTCTTTAAAGACATGCTCCAGAACATTGGTAACTACTAAGTATTTTTCAAACCTGCCTCTTGTGTAGTTCATACATGCATAATCTATTAGCAGAATTACTGTCTTGCCTCAATTAGCCACGGAATCCCTAGTTTGAAAGCAACTGTTTTTCTGGAAGCTGTCCTGTGCAATTATCCCTACATTTTCCCCCACGTGGGCCAGTCCCCTAGCATCTTCAAGTTCTAACCAATAAGCTTCAGCTCCTCGCCATTTGAGTGACAGCTAGCAAGATGCACACACAGCAGAGCGAGACAGAGCAATGATGTAGTGCACATATCTGCATATACAGTATGTGACGTAGTACGCAATTTTCGGGGACCACTTTTGACTGGTGAGTGCTACTTTCAGAACTACTGGCTAAAAAGTATACAAACGTATGCCTTAAAATGTCCCCCAAAAGGACAATAAAGTCAGTGGATCTGTCCTTACGGTATGTAGCGTGACATTGAGATCTTCCACGGACCCTCGGCATGGGATGACCACCTGCACTCCCTCACTGATGAACACAACCTCATAGTCCTTGTCAGAGGGCACAAATGGCACTTTATAGTCTGAAATAAAACACAAATACATAAAGAAGTCATGAGACGTCATGAGAGTCAACAACATACACTGTATGTAATCCATACTGTACATACATCAGATCAGGTAGGCTCATCATTAAGGCAGATCTAAGCAGCTCTTGGGTCAGATAGTAAAGATTACCCATTGGGTCAAGCTTTAGGGATTCGGTAAGCCTACTTGTCATTCCAAAATGAGGTAATGATGATGCATACCTTGGACATGGACATAAACGGCCACAGAGGTTTTGCTATCCTCCACCGCCAGGTCTTTGTAGGAGCACTGATACTTTCCAGTCTCATTGACGGTGGCCGAGGAAATGTGTAATGTGATGCAGAAGAATCCTGACCCACTGCAGTCTACTGTGGAGAGACGACTGCCAGCACGGCTGCGATTATAGGATGTGGTCCATTCCAGGTTCTGACGGCCACTGCAGATCCAAAGAACAGAGTGAGAACGATGATCGTTAGTAGGGGAAGAGTTTGATGGATGGATAGATGGATGGTTGACTTATATGGAGACTCATTATGTGAGGTAGTTGATATCGGTTTTAAGACCATTTGAGTTATGTTTGTGGCCGTATTTGCCAGGCTTCTGGAGAAGAGTGGCCCATCAGGTTCCTGTATGTCTCACCTGCAGGTAATCTCCAGTGTGTCTGAGGTGTTGATCCTGAGGACTTTGTCCTGGATGCTCAGTGTTGGGGGGTCAGGCATGAACCTGAGTTCTAATGCTGTAGGAATGGAGAGGTAAACAGTCAGTCAATCACCCTGATGATTGACTTATCTCAACAGTTCAGTCAGCATTAGCACACAGTGGAGACCAATATGAGACTGCTCACTCTCATGTCAAACCAACCTTAAATCATGTGTATAGAAAGAGTGGGAGACTCCCGGAGAGTAGAGTGGGAGTGAGGGCTGAACATGAAATCAGATGGGTAATGGTTCCTATCCCAACTATGATTATGCTCTCCTATATCAAATCTCAGAATCCATACCAGACTCCTCAAACACACTAGTTTATTCTCTGCAACTAGAATGTTGATAGCTAGAACACAAAATAATAAATGTGTAAGTCAATGATAAAATAAAGTTTCATTAATCATTCCAACAGTGGAAAGCACAGACGGGAGAATTTTTTTTCATCCATGGCGTGGACTCTATGGACTCTGTGGCAATTTTTCCACTCCTGCAGCAAATGGCGGAGCGGAGCGGAGCTGTGTCAAAACAGGAAGCCACGGCAGATGGGCCGGGTCAGGCTCAATAGCCCAGCTCTGTGTCGCCTAAGGTGGGGTTCCTGTTCCAGAGGATACGGCCTCCCAGAGAGGGCCTGGACACCTTCTGTGCATGCTGAAATGTGGACTATTTAGCCCCAAATACTCCAACATTTCTGTGACAGTTCAATATTACTGGTGTCTTTGATTAGCCTACTGATCCAAAGAATATGAAAATGAAGTGTAGCACCAGAGTATTGAGGGGAGGAACATGTGTTGTCTCAATGGTCATTTGCTATACTGCCTCAAGTGAAGTGTCAAAATGGATTGTTAAAATGATTGAGGGATAAGGGCCAGGGGTAATGAGGGCCAAGAGGAATTGTAACTGACCTATGCACATAAGAATCATCAGAGCCACTGCTAACACATTGTAATTATGTAATGCATCACATTTTATACTTGGCAAGTTCTTCTGATAAACATCTAAATACAGTTGTTAGTTTTAGTAAAGTAACAATATACCACAATTGACACACATAAAGGTAGCCTAAGATGCCAATGTTTTCTGAACATATTAAACTGAATCATTTTGATCAATATGCTTTCTGTTTCATCTTACCAATCACCCTGCTGACTCCCAGAAGAATGCCCACGAAATGTAAAGTCATGACGGAGAATGCCTTTGCCATCGTCGACAATAGAGATGGATTGTCCCCGCATGAACACGCAATATGCAAAGTTCACTCCAGAAAGTAATCCAAGGCTATCCGTTCATCACCTCTTCATGCACACTGACGATATTTGTCTATTCCACTGGAGAATTTAAAAAAAAATGCTGAGCCAAAAACACAAGGAACTGAATAAAATTGATAATCCTCCTTCACAGCAGTGCAACTAGACTACAGTCTGACAGTGAGTCGTGATCAACAGTTTGGCGCCTGAGTCCCAGTGGATCGCTCTGAGGAAGGATGGAGCGCAGATATGAGCGGGCAGTGGAAACGTGCTGTAGCGAAAAGAGGAGGGAGAAAGCGGAGGGAGACAACGCAAGGGAGGAGCAAGCGTCCCCATCTCCTCAGCCCCCCGTCCGTTATCTCTCAATTTAACCGACCTGTTTCAAAGAAACTTGGATAAGTCTACCCAAAGAATTAGGGTCAAAGGCTATATCTATAGCCAAGGAACTTTGTGTTGTGCAACACAATTTCACACTCAATTCGTGCAAATGTGCACAAAAGTATTTCAGCAGATTTCCTGCTTTTTTGTATGTTTTTGTGTGTCTTAATTTGTGTGAAAATAAACAAATTTTGGTGCGACTTAATTCGTAGGAAAAACACACATTTTTGTGTGACCTCATTCATAGGAAAACACATTTTGGGGGGCAAACTTCGGAACATTCTTTTGAGAGTTATTGGAGCAATGCATTTTGCGCAATGGTGTTCTACACTGGCTTGTTTTGTTCCCACATTTATTTATATATAAAAAAACGTGTTAACAACCCAATATTGTTAATCAACCAGGTTGTCACCGAAATACTTATAATATAATAGTAGCCTTAAGTTTTTAAAATATTTGTATTAATGCCAAAGCTGTTTTCTATGCTTGTTTTTGCTTAATACTTTGGGATACTGGTGCTATGTTGGATTTTATGAGGGTTGCCAAATTGGAGTAAAAAGCTGTATTTGTCTGGGGGTTTTTGTGGTATCTATTAAGGTATTTGATTGGGGAATGGGGACACATTTTCATGATGGGAAATTAATTCATCAATAAATGTGGGGAAACAGAAGACCTGCAAAAAAAATCTGTTTGGTTCAAATTCCCCTGGTGCAACTGCATGGTATTTGCAACTATAACGAGCCTGGTGTATGATCAACTAACCCATATCAATGCAGTTAAAAAGGTTAATGTAAGATAATTAATTATGTTGGCTTACACTTATGGCACTTCCAAGGCCATTTCATGATGATTATTACTGTTGTGTCAATCATTTTATATACTTAGGCTATTGTAACAAGGCATATGCCAGCACTGTAGGCCTATGCCTCTGCCCAGAGGCCTACTAAGCTTTCATAGCAACGGCTGTTAGAGCTCACTTTGCCACATATGAGCCCTGGTTAGAGTTCCTGTTGCAGCTTTCACTTTCTTCCGCTACATTGGTGGCAGCATTGGGATCACACCCAGCTCACGTCTAGTTCTGTGATCTACTTGTAGGAAGCATTCTGTTTTTCAACTTTGTGTTGGGTGTAATTACATTGATATATCTAGTGAACAATGGATAAGCAACAATGGGCGTGACGGATAGAAGTAGTCACTACAGGTGTGATCAAGCCTTACATCAAAGTTGCCTGAAGCTGAATAGAAAGTGCTATGCCCTGACTAGTTATTTAGAAGAAAACCCTCTGTGACTGTCTAATTTACATATGTTAACTTATCAGTGTGGACCCAAAACAAACACATTCTAGACATTTACAAACTACCTGTTTAAAGTGTTATTACATCCATGGTGTTATTTTGTTACTGAAGCTTATATATCAAATAACCTGACAATTATCCACATCATATGGGTAGACAAATAATGTAAGTGTGTTATGCAGCAAAACACAACTATCCTTTTTTTAGGATGCAAACCAGTAATATGAATCACTGTTGATCCATCCTGTTCTGATCTAATGAGATGGATATAAGATTTTCTTCGGCCTAGAATCGAGGCCTTTCCCAGTCATGAAGGACGAAGCTAGAATCCTCTTGGTTCTCATTGGCGAAGACTGAAGTCATGTTAGGGGTTCTATGTCAGACTCTCCTACACCACTTTGCCCAACATGTTATACCCCAGAGGATGTAAATAAATAATTTTTTAAGGTGATTTAACTTGTATAATTATTATAGGGCTGTAGTCCCGTGTAGCTCAGTTGGTAGAGCATGGCGTTTGCAACGCCAGGGTTGTGGGTTCGTTTCCCACGGGGGACCAGTATGAAAAAAAAAAAATATGCACTCACTAACTGTAAGTCACTCTGGATAAGAGCGTCTGCTGAATGACCAAAATGTAAATGAAACCCATAGCCAAATGGCTTCAGAGTGAGCATTTCTCACTGGGAAATGCTGCTGATATTGAACATAATTCATTTCAGACTCTCCTATGCCACTATCTATTCCCAACATCTTATTCCCCATAGGTTGTAAATGAAACCTTTTTAAACTGATATAACTTGTATGATTATTATAGGAATGTGGAACCCATAGCCGAATGGCTTCAGACAGAGCATTTCTCACCATTTATTTATGGAGAGCAATTTTCATTTTATAACAGGTAGTGTCCATTTACAGTGCATTCAGAAAGTATTCAGACCTTTGTTGAAGCACCTTTGGCAGCGATTACAGCCTTGAGTCTTCTTGGGTAGGACGCTACAAGCTTGGCACACCTGTATTTGGGGAGTTTCTCCCATTCTTCTCTGCAGATTCTCTGAAGCTCTGTCAGGTTGGATGGGGAGTGTCGCTGCACAGCTATTTTCAGGTCTCTCCAGAGATGTTCAATCGGGTTCAAGTCCGGGCTCTGGCTGGGCCACTCAAGGACAATTAGAGACTTGTCCAGAAGCCACTCCTGCATTGTCTTGGCTGTGTGCTTAGGGTCATTGTCCTGTTGGAAGGTGAACCGTCGCCCCTGTCTGAGGTCCTGAGCGCTCTGGAGCAGGTTTTCATCAAGGATCTCTCTGTACTTTGCTCCGTTCATCTTTCCCTCGATCCTGACTAGTCTCCCAGTCCCTGCCACTGAAAAACATCCCCACAGCATGATGCTGCCACCACCATGCTTCACCGTAGAGATGGTATTGGCCAGGTGATGAGCGGCGCCTGGTTTCCTCCAGACATGACGCTTTGCATTCAGGCCAAAGAGTTCTATCTTGGTTTCATCAGACTAGAGAATCTTGTTTCTCATGGTCTGAGAGTCTTTAGGTGCCTTTTAGCAAACTTCAAGTGGGCTGTCATGTGCCTTTTACTGAGGAGTGGCTTCTGTCTGGCCACTCTACCATAAAGGCCTGATTGGTGGTGTGCTCAGAGATGGTTGTCCTTCTGGAAGGTTCTCCCATCTCGGCAGAGGAACTCTGGAGATCTGTCAGAGTGATCATTGGGTTCTTGGTCACCTCCCTGACCAAGGCCCTTCTCCTCCAATTGCTCAGTTTGGTCAGGCGGCCAGCTCTAGGAAGAGTGTTGGTGGTTCCAAACTTCTTCCATTTAAGAATGATGGAGGCCACTGTGTTCTTGGGGAAATTTTTTGGTACCCTTCCACAGATCTGTGCCTCGATCTGTCTCAGAGCTCTACGGACAATTCCTTCTACCTCATGGCTTGGTTTTTGCTCTGACACGCACTGTCAACTGTGGGACCTTATAGAGTGCATTCGGAAAGTATTCAGACCACTTGACTTTTTCAAAATTTTGTTACGTTACAGCTTTATTCTGAAATGGATTATTTATTTTTTTATCTCATCAATGATGACAAATAATCACAAAGCCAAAACAGGTTTCATAGAAATGTTTGCAAATGTATTTCCGCTTTGTCAGTATGTGGTATTTTGTGTATGTTAATGAGGATTTTTTTTTATTTAATCCATTTTAGAATAAGGCTGTAACGTAACAAAATGTGGAAAAAGTCAAGGGGTCTGAATACTTTCCGAATGCACTGTATTTACAGTAGTGTGTTGATTAATTATTGCTTCCTTCAGTGAAAATACAGAATATGTATAAAAATGCCAAATATACCAAAAACTAAATCAAGCAGAGATTTACGACTATTTAACCATGTTAGTCATTACTGAAACATGCGAACTACAAACATTTAACTAGTTAAAGATAATGAATATATGACAACTAGATACAAATATTTTATAATTCATACAAGTCAAGAGTTGGCTATAACATGAGTACAAACAGAGTGTGTGTATATGTGTGTAAGTATTTGTGTGTGTTTTTTCTCCAATCTGGCAACCCTCAGAATATTTGATATAGTCTTGTATTAAATGCATTATGAAGAAAATTGTGTAATGTATGCTCCACGAAATATGAAATGCGTCATGAAGAAAATTGTGTAGGCCTACTGTTGCCTACACGAAAAAAGGGCCTTTCTGACTACAAGTGCACCATTATCCCAAAGTATTAATTGAAAACAAGCATACAAAACAGCATTGGCATCAACATATTTGCACGAATTGAGTGTGAGATTGTGTTCATGTACAGTGGGGGAAAAAAGTATTTAGTCAGCCACCAATTGTGCAAGTTCTCCCACTTAAAAAGATGAGAGAGGCCTGTAATTTTCATCATAGGTACACGTTAACTATGACAGACAAATTGAGAGAGAAAAAAATCCAGAAAATCACACTGTAGGATTTTTTATGAATTTATTTGCAAATTATGGTGGAAAATAAGTATTTGGTCACCTACAAACAAGCAAGATTTCTGGCTCTCACAGACCTGTAACTTCTTCTTTAAGAGGCTCCTCTGTCCTCCACTCGTTACCTGTATTAATGGCACCTGTTTGAACTTGTTATCAGTATAAAAGACACCTGTCCACAACCTCAAACAGTCACACTCCAAACTCCACTATGGCCAAGACCAAAGAGCTGTCAAAGGACACCAGAAACAAAATTGTAGACCTGCACCAGGCTGGGAAGACTGAATCTGCAATAGGTAAGCAGCTTGGTTTGAAGAAATCAACTGTGGGAGCAATTATTAGGAAATGGAAGACATACAAGACGACTGATAATCTCCCTCGATCTGGGGCTCCACGCAAGATCTCACCCTGTGGGGTCAAAATGAACACAAGAACTCAGAACCACACGGGGGGACCTAGTGAATGACCTGCAGAGAGCTGGGACCAAAGTTACAAAGCCTACCATCAGTAACACACTACGCCGCCAGGGACTCAAATCCTGCAGTGCCAGACGTGTCCCCCTGCTTAAGCCAGTACATGTCCAGGCCCGTCTGAAGTTTCCTAGAGTG